TAACTAACTAACTAACTAACTAACTAACTAACTAACTAACTAACTAACTAACTAACTAACTAACTAACTAACTAACTACTACTAACTAACTAACTAACTAACTAACTAACTACTAACTAACTACAACTAACTAACTAACCTAACTAACTAACTAACTAACTAACTAACTACTAACTAACTACTAACTAACTAACTAACTAACTAACTAACTAACTAACTAACTACTAACTAACTAACTAACTAACTAACTAACTAACTAACTAACTAACTAACTAACTACTAACTAACTAACTAACTAACTAACTAACTAACTAACTAACTACTAACTAACTAACTAACTAACTACTAACTAACTAACTAACTAACTAACTAACTAACTAACTAACTAACTAACTAACTAACTAACTACTAACTAACTAACTAACTACTAACTACTAACTAACTAACTAACTAACTAACTAACTAACTAACTAACTAACTAACTAACTAACTAACTAACTAACTAACTAACTAACTAACTAACTAACTAACTAACTAACTAACTAACTAACTAACTAACTAACTAACTAACTAACTAACTAACTAACTAACTAACTAACTAACTAACTAACTACTAACTAACTAACTAACTAACTAACTAAACTAACTAACTAACTAACTAACTAACTAACTAACTAACTAACTAACTAACTAACTAACTAACTAACTAACTAACTAACTAACTAACTAACTAACTAACTAACTAACTAACTAACTAACTAACTAACTAACTAACTACTAACTAACTAACTAACTAACTAACTAACTAACTAACTAACTAACTAACTAACTAACTAACTAACTAACTACTAACTAACTAACTAACTAACTAACTAACTAACTAACTAACTAACTAACTAACTAACTAACTAACTAACTACTAACTAACTACTAACTAACTAACTAACTAACTAACTAACTACTAACTAACTAACTAACTAACTAACTAACTAACTAACTAACTAACTACACTACTAACTAACTAACCTAACTACTAACTAACTAACTAACTAAGCTAACTAACTAACTAACTAACTAACTAACTAACTAACTACTAACTAACTAACTAACTAACTAACTAACTACTAACTAACGAACTAACTAACGACTAACTAACTAACTAACTAACTAACTAACTAACTAACTAACTACTAACTAACTACTACTAACTAACTAACTAACTAACTAACTAACTAACTAACTAACTAACTAACTAACTAACTAACTAACTAACTAACTACTAACTAACTAACTAACTAACTAACTACTAACTAACTACTAACTAACTAACTAACTAACTAACTAACTAACTAACTACTAACTAACTAACTAACTAACTAACTAACTAAACTAACTAACTAACTAACTAACTAACTAACTAACTAACTAACTAACTAACTAACTAACTAACTAACTACTAACTAACTAACTACTAACCTAACTAACTAACTAACTAACTAACTAACTAACTAACTAACTAACTAACTACTACTAACTAACTAACTAACTACTAACTAACTAACTAACTAACTAACTAACTAACTAACTAACTAACTAACTAACTAACTAACTAATAACTAACTAACTAACTACTACTCTACTATCTATCTATCTATCTATCTATCTATCTATCTATCTATCTATCTATCTATCTAGTCTAGCTATCTAGCTATCTAGCTATCTATCTATCTATCTATCTATCTAATCTATCTATCTATCTATCTATCTATCTATCTATCTATCTATCTATCTATCTATCTATCTATCTATCTATCTATCTATTTATCTATCTATCTATCTATCTATCTATCTATCTATCTATCTATCTATCTATCTATCTATCTATCTATCTATCTATCTATCTAAAAAACCGGAGTTTTAAGTTTAAATTGAATAGTCTCAACGAATTCTGCAAAATTTGGAACATGATCGAAATACAATTAACCACTTTAACAAAGATAATATTCGAGACCTCTCGGTTATACAATCTCCTTTATTTAAAGACCGATTTCACTTATTTCAAACTTCTCAAAAGCATGTCTGATAAAATTGTTAATGATTCAGATATGTCAGATATCTGAGATCTTCGAAAACTAAATAATAATTTTAAATAATTAATTAAACATTCTGTTTTATTAAAAATTAACAGTTACTAACAAAAATTTACGAAATTCGAATATTTTATAAAAATCTATACTCAACAGCACTTCTCAAATCACTCAACGAAAGAAAGCATTCTCTTTAAGTTCTTAAATGAATTTTCCATCCAACAACTAGCACAGTTGAAACAGATTCTGCTGCTAATTTGTCTGTCTCTGCTGTTAGGTATTTGTTGTTACTGTTACTTTTCACACATATACACACATAAATCGATAACTAAACGCAATGAAAATGAAGGGAAAATGTGGAAAAAAAACTAAAAGAAATTCAATTCAATCTATTACGTTTTATTATGATTATTGAATAAAAATTAATTGTGATAAACAATTTTTTGTAATTTTTAGCAATAAATTTTATAGTTTTTTGTGTTTGTTAAAAAAAAAACTATTACGCTGTTGTTAAAATTTAGTTGTAATGTCTACAGCTGTGTGCGTTTTTGTTTTAATTGTTAGAAAATTTTAAAGCATACGTTAACTTTTTATTATTTTAGTTAATAAGTTTTATTAAAATTTAAGCGTTTTTCAGTTTTATTTGATTTTATTTTGAAATATTTATTTGAAATAAATCTGTTTGTTTTAAATTTGTTTGATATTAAATTTATTTATTTTTTTTTTTAATTATAATCGTGTAACTACGATTCTACTTGATTTTTCACTTTACGCCAGGATACTAACGAAAAATTAAGAGCACAAGATTACAAATTATTATTTGTCGTTTTCCACTCTATACTGTGTATGTAGTTTTGTGCCTCTTCGTCTTCTTGTTCTTGTTCTTCTTTATACTTTCTTTCTTACACCTACAGTAAAAAATAATACAAACACTAGTATTATATGTAAATAGATTTTCCAGCGTTTCGTGTCTTTTATTTTCTCACAACAAATGTATACTAATGGATTTTTTTTCGTATAAAATTCTGAACCACTTCCCACTCTATTCTTATCACATTTCACTTTATTCTGTTTTGTGTGTAACAATTTCTTTTTATTGTATTCAATACTTTATGGAACACAGATGTTCGGAGAGTGTAAATAAAAATCAATAGGAGTTTATTTATTTGATACGAACATTTTTTCTAGTTTACCGTAATTGCGCATGTTTTCGAAAAAAAAAACTAACTGTCATAGGTGTCACGTACTATGATGAGAGCAGAATATGTACTCAATTCTATGATTAACGGTAAATTTAACAACTCTGTTATTCGTCTGCATCTTTAACAATGAAATACAACTCTGTGTTGGTTTTGTAAACAATGATAGGGTTTCCCAAGTACAGTTAAGAGATATGTTATGGGAAAGGATTAGGGTTCTATAGTTGAAACGAAAAGTCGACTTTTCGACTTGTTTCATTTAGTTAAAAGTCGACTTTTCGACTTTTTGCATTTTATGAAAAGTCGATTTTTCGACTTTTTTCATTTAAATAAAAGTCGACTTTCAGACTTTTCGACTATAAGTATTTTATAAATAGTCGACTTTTCGACTTTTTTCGACTTTTCGAATTTTTCGACTTTTTCGACTTTTCGACTTTTTGACTATTTTCGACTTCTTTCTACTTTTTTCCGACTATTTTTTGACTTTTTTCGAGTTTTTGACTTTTTTTCCACTTTTTAAAAATTTTTTACTATTTTTGACTTGTTTCTACAATTTTCGATTTTTCGACTTTTTCCGACTTTTTCCGACTTTTTTCGACTTTTTACGACTTTTCGACTTTTTTCGACTTATCGACTTTTTCGACTTTCAGACTTTTCGGCTTTTTTCGACTTTTATTCACAAAGTCGACTTTTCGACTTTTTTCACAGACGATAGTCGAGTTATCGACTTTTTTGGAACAAAATAGTCGACTTCGACTTTTCGACTTTTTTCAACAAAAAGTCGATTGTTCGATTATTCGAAAGTCGATTTATAGAACCCTAGAAAGGATACGTTTGATCAATAATTTTAGTTTAAAATCTATTTTATAAACTTCATTATTATTCCCACAGAATATAGACTGGTCTTGTCTATATATTGGGATATCTAAACTATAATACAAATGTCGGGACATTAAACCGCTGCATAATTTTAAATTCTTTTTCCGATTGGAATGTACTGAACCTTGCTTTGACGTAAAGTCAATTTGAATTAACAGCAACCTTTATAAAAAGAAACGACACATTTTAGTAGAGAATCAAACACTATTTAGAATAAATATCGAATTTTTAAAATATTGGCAACACTTTCAAAAATACTTGGCAACACCTTTTTTTCAGACAAATCTCACACTACCATCACTAAAAAGAAACAAGCATTTGTTTACAAATATGTTTCATTTCCACCTTATTCCCTACATTTCTAACAACTTATCTACGTATCAGAAATAATTTTGTTTGGAAAACAAAATAAAAACGTTTACCGCACTATTTTCATAATTTAATACAAATTAATTGAAATGGCCTCAGCTCTAGAACAATATATCAATCACACAGTTTCGATAATAACAGCAGATGGACGTAATTTCATTGGAACTCTAAAGGGATTCGATCAAACTATCAATGTAATATTGGACGAGTCGCATGAACGAGTCTTTTCCACAACAGCCGGCATTGAACAAATTGTATTGGGTTTGCATATAATACGTGGAGACAATATAGCGGTGATAGGACAAATTGATGAGACCATCGATTCAAGGCTGGATTTTCCCAATATAAGAGGTGAACCTTTGGGGCCGGTGGTACATTGATTTCAAGTTGAAAAACAAAAAGTATTTGTTAAGTTTGAAAACAAAAAATAAAATTAAATTTCTATATATTAGAAAAATTGTAAATATTGTTTAGTTTTTTGTTTAATTTTATTATTAATCTGCTTGTGCACAATTGAAAGATATTTCATGACATTCTAAAGTTTCCAAATTTACCACGGCCACACTTTGTGTGGTGGCAAAACTGGGCACACAAACCAATCTAGTTTTCTGGCCCTTCGAACCCTCATGCAGTAGGGAGGAAAACTCATTACAGTTGCCAGCAAAATAAATATGTGGACATTCCTTCATAATAAAGGGATCCGAATCGATGTAGGGATAACAGGCCAAGGTATCGGGAGCAGTAGGTGCTATATGACCCCATTGCAGGGTAAAACGCAAAGCATCTAAGGGTTTTTCTATAGCTGTGCAACGTATTAAATCCTTAACATTTTGACCGGCCGTACCCACAATTAGAGCATCATCTACTGTACAGGCATAAGGATTGGAAACACTTTGAAAATTTTCATGTTGGCTGGCTGTGGGAAACATACAACTGTGGAAGGGTTGTTGGGGCAACATAAAATTAGCGGGATCATAGGGACCGGGCATAACATCTATGGCCAATGAACTCGACCAGGCGTTAAACCAGTCATCTAATGCCTTCATAGCATCGATAGTGTCATGGGAATCATTGGATTTCGTTTGCAGCGTGGGCACACGTTTCTCTTCACAACTTCTAACCGAATTGCCTGCAATAATCATGCGTACATTTTTCGCTTTCTGGCCACTTAGTAAGTTGCCCCTTAACCAGTGTTGCAACAGATTTAAGGAGTCCACATAATTGTGAGATTGTACCCAATCTAAACCAGATACCAAGATCAAAAGACGCTGCTCGCCGCCTTTCTCTTTTAGCGGCCTTTGTGGACCACTCTCATAAAATATTATTCCTTGGACATCAAAACGTCCATCTTCTTCTATCAGACCCATGGCGGCGCATACAATGCCCGTAGCCATTTCTTCACTTCTTACCTTACCATGCAAACGTACACGCTGCAACTCATCTTCCAATATTACTTTATCCTCCGGATCAGAGTAATTTTCTCGCGGCGGCTGTGGTGCCAACTGGTTTTCTTCCGAAATCTCTTTCAATATGCTGGGTTTGTGTGCCTGATGTTTGTATATGGTACCTATAATAATGCATTCCTCTTCGGTATCTTCTCTTAAATCACACAATTTCTTTATGGGCACCTTTGAGCCCCACTCTTCAATGGCTCGTTTTTGCATTAATGTCGACATTTCGGCCAAACGATGGGCATAAAGATGGGAAAATTGTTTTTGATAATCAAAAGATTTAATTAAGAACTTTTGTGAATGATTTTCATATTGTTGAGTAGACATTTTGTTTGTAAATTTTAATTTTTTGTAATTTTATTTAATATTAGGAAATTGTTTGCAATGTTTTGTTTGCTAATTTAGCCGCCTTACTAGTGATGGTAGTTAAGCAATAACATAAAATAGTTGTTTACATTCATCACTGAAATGCCATATCTGAAAAAAACGGGGATGTTATAATTTATAATACAGAGATGTATTTTTGTTTATCAATTTTCTGACAAACTGAATTTACGACTGCCGACGACAGACTTCATTTTTGGAAACAAAAATAAAAAGTACCGTTAATTTTGAACTTCCTACTCCAACCAATAGAAGTTTATTGAGAGCATCTCCAAACGAGAAATTTTTGAAATAAGTATTTTATTTTTAAATGTTTAGCACGATTTTAATAAAACTCCACATGCTTAGAGATGAAATGTTGTACCGTTTGTAATTTAAATTTTGCCTTTATTGAGCACCGTCTCTGAAATCTATGAAAACTCATTCTGAGCGAGAGCTATTAACTCCAATTTAAAAACCAACAAAATCAACTCTTCTTTAAAATTTAGCCTTATCATAAGACGAATTATTTCCCAATGCTAATTTCAGACCCAGCCAGGCCATTTTTTCGGCTTTTAAATAATTTTCATCATCAAACTGACACATAAACTTGGGAAAAGCTTCAGCGCCGGTTTCAGCAGTTATAAAATTCCACTTGGGTATATTTGTAATAGAAGATACCAAAAACTGTCGGTCCAGAGGACAAGTGGAAGAGGAAGGGCCAGCTTCAAGTTCCACTTTGCCATTTAAATGCTGGGCGCAACCTTCCAAATAATTGCCATAGGATATCTCATTGTTAGTTAAACATAAATCTTTAAAATCTGAGAGTATAACAGCATCCTTGACATCTTCAGTACCCAAATTCTTATTACAGTTTTTGAAGCTAGTAGTAGCTAAATCATCTTTTGTTATACTGTTCGGGGTATCTGGGGTGTTTATCAGTAAAGGTGTGACCATTTTATTAACCTTTTGTAAAGCCGGAAATAAATTTCGTTTAACCTCTATTTCACTATCATCTGAAGTTTCCATTTCCTGATGACTTCCGTTAAATTTAAATAAAGCTTTTGTTAACTTTTTTTGAGCAGTTTCAGTCTGCTTACCACTACGCGGAGTTACATTTTTAATTTTTACCAAATTTGAACAACCAGCACCAAATAATACATCGGAATATAATGTGCCCGGTCTACAGGCAGAAGTGGGTTCTTTGCCACTAGCTAATGCAGTTGTTTCAAGTATTTTCCCCTTGCCATTTGGAAATTTCAACCAGTTGGGTGATTTTTTGCGTAAATTTTTATGTTTTTTATTGGTCAAGGTATTAAAAGGGGCAATAGATTTATCCGAACGTTTCCAACTACCCGATTTAACTTTTGTGGGTATTAAGGGTTTGTTGTTGTCTTTAGATTTCCGATTTCCTGTGGAAGTTTGCGGTAGTTGGCTATCAGTTATATCATCTACGTTAAGGGAGCTTTTAATATGCGATTGCTTTGTTTTTCTACTTGTTTTATAATTTGTACTATTTGTACGTGGTGGTTTCTCCTGGGACTTTTCCATAGTTTGGGGTTGATTTGAATTTTTACTAAAATTTAACCGTAAATATTATTTGGTTATTAAAATTCACATCTTTTTGTGCTTACATAGAGTCAAGAAAATCTTTAACCATTTTGCCGAGGAACATTGATTTGGTTATTTAAAGAAGTTGTTAAATTAAATGTGATTTGTATTATAAATTTCAATTTATTTTGATATAATTTTTGTAGCTTTTTGTCCTTCAATATTTGTTTGTTATGAATGAAAATTAAGACAAAATTAATAAACCGACATTAGGCTCGAATATTCAAAAAGGGAACAGGGTCTACATTAGTAGTTTAAATATGATGTAGAACTAACCGAGAACTGAATTAGAATTGGAGTAGAACTGTAATAGATCTGAACTAGAACTGGTGTAGAACTGAACTTGCACATAACTAGAACTGATGTAGAACTTAACTAGAGCTGAACTAGAACTTATCTAGAACTGAACTAGAAATAAACAAGAACAGAACTAGATCTGAACTGAATTAGAACAGAACTAGAGCTGAACTATAACTGAACTAGAACTGAACTTGCACATAACTAGAACTGCAGTAGAACTTAACTAGATCTGAAATAGAACTGCCCCATAAGTTCTGGTCTAGAACTGAAGTGGAACTGAACTAGAACTGAACTAGAACTGAACTGGAACTGAACTAGAACTGAACTAGAACTAAACTAGAACTGAACTAGAAGTGAACCAGAACTGAACCAGAACTGAACTAGAACTGAACTAGAACTGAACTAGAACTGAACTAGAACTGAACTAGAACTGAACTAGAACTGAACTAGAACTGAACTAGAACTGAACTAGAACTGAACTAGAACTGAACTAGAACTGAACTAGAACTGAACTAGAACTGAACTAGAACTGAACTAGAACTGAACTAGAACTGAACTAGAACTGAACTAGAACTGAACTAGAACTGAACTAGAACTGAACTAGAACTGAACTAGAACTGAACTAGAACTAGAACTGAACTAACTGAACTAGAACTAGAACTGAACTAGAACTGAAGTAGAATTGAACTAAACTGGAACTGAACTAGAACTAAAGTAGAAATGAACTAGAAGTAAACCAGAACTGAACCAGAACTGAACCAGAACTGAACTAGAACTGAACTAGAACTGAACTAGAACTGAACTAGAACTGAACTAGAACTGAACTAGAACTGAACTAGAACTGAACTAGAACTGAACTAGAACTGAACTAGAACTGAACTAGAACTGAACTAGAACTGAACTAGAACTGAACTAGAACTGTACTAGAACTGAACTAGAACTGAACTAGAACTGAACTAGAACTGAACTAGAACTGAACTAGAACTAAACTTGAACTGAAGTAGAACTGAACTAGAACTGAACTAAAACTGAACTAGAACATAATATGATTTCCAAATTTCAGCCTATTCGGTTTACGGCGACTGGTTCGAAAAAAACTTGCATATATTTTTTCGAAATATTAACCTGGAAACCTGGAATTTGGAACTTAATCAATTTTTACATTTTTAATTTTCTATTTTTTCAGCGTACATTGTCAAATTTTTATATATTTTTCCCAATTTCCAATCATCATGTTACGCTTTTTAACAAAAAATCTCAATCAAAAATGGCCTAAAACATTTTCGAGGTAATGGAAACTATTAAAAATCCTTTTTTTATTAAATTTCCATAAATTTTTCATCTTTAGTAGCAACATACAATATCGAAATTTTAACGAGAAAACTTCTATAGTAATCGGTGGAGGTTTGGAGAAACCTCAAGGTGGCTTAAAAGAAGAGAAATATTTTTGTAATCAAAATTTGGATTTAATGGCGAAACTACGTCAGCAGGGTACAAAATTAAAGTGTGAAGATGTTTTAAACGATTGGAAGGAATTTGAAAAAGTTTTAGGTACGACAAATGAAAGTAAAGCTTTAAGGGAATCATGTTCGCTAAATAAACATAAAAATTGTTTAGAGGAGGCATTTTTCTTAAATGAGGTCAGTGGTTATTCGATTTATTGGACAATTTTAAATCTTATATTATTTATTTTTAAATTTTTCTCAGCAAAATGAATGTTGTACAAAACTTCTTAAAGAAA